CCCCACTATGTCTGGGTTGGTGTCAGCTAGCAGGAGGGTAAGTTCCTCTTGCTTGTTTCCCATACTACGAGCATGTGGGTGTGGCATTTGTCAGGTGTGAGGGGTGTAGGGGAGGGGGGAATCTCCCCCACCACAGCGCAGCAGCAGGCAGGGGCACTCGGGGCGCTGGTGCCTAGCTGTAGCCAGCGCTGCATGTCACAGCGAGAAGCGAAGCCCCCGCCGGGCAGTCTCTATTGCCGGTGCTACCCACACTCACTCTGCAGGGGAAGGAAGCTCCAAGTGCTAGAGCCACCTGCCTTCCCCACCTCAGCTGGCTCCAGTGCCTGGGACTTCCCTCCTGTGCTACTCAAGTGAGGGGAGCACTGGCAATACAGATGGCCTGGCGAGGGCTGCGCTCCCCACTGCGATGTGTAGCACTGGCTGGAGCCAGGCACCAGAGCCAAGCACGAGAGTCCCTTCACTCCTGCCCACCGCTGCTGCTGCTGCCCCTACTTCCTGCCAGGGCTGTGCGTCACAGGGGGAGTAAAGGAGGAGGGGGAATGTGGGAGGGTCTCCCCCTACCCTCTCTCACACCCACACTTCCCACCTGAGGTCCATGCTGCCACCACCCACCTGGGCGTAGGCTACACACTGCCATCAGCCCCAGCACCACAATCTGCGTTGCCACCCAGCTGCAGCCCCACCACTGCCCCCCGCTTCCCTACCTGCTGCCTGGAGCCAGCAGGATGCCAGGGAGGCCTGCAGCAGCAGCCCTTCCCAGTGCTGATGGGGCCAGGCCCTTCTGCCCACAAAGATGGGAGTGAGGCATAATAGGGTATGTTAGGGGCAGGCGTAGGCGCTTCGCTCCCACTGTCGTGGGTGGAAGGGCTGGGCCTGGTGCAATTTGTTGGTGGGCGCTATAGGCCAGATGAAAGTGCCTGGTGGGCCGCATCTGGCCCATGGGCCGTATTTTACGCACCCCTGCCTTAGTCTGTAGAGGTCTGTGGACCAGAGGCTGAAAACCATAGTACTAGACAATCTTTCCCAAGCAGTGTATAATTCAAGGATAAGAAACTGGGTGGATTCAACACCAAAAGAGTATGAGGTAACAATGTAAGTAGTGTTGATGACACACCAGCTGCCAAAATATTGTCATGATTTGTAGACACCATGGCAGAGGTGGGTTTCATACAGTGATGTAACAAGATAAAGTAGAAAGGTGGCACCTAGTTTCTCTAATCACTAACCTCAAAGAATCTAAAACGGTCACTTCTAGGGTGCACCAGGTCTAGACTTCCTCTTCACTGGTCACTGCAAAAAAATCACACTCGAGGTCTTTATGCCGCAGTGCATGCTTAGCAAGAACCAAATAAATTTCAGATCTGATAAAGGGTCCCAGGAAAGCAGGACTGGAAGAGACCTCACAAGCAATAGATGTTGGCACCATTCTAGTATGTGTAACAGCAGCAGCAAACTGCAACTAAGTATTAATATTTCTATTAATTAACTACATTTATTGAAGTAGTAACAATTCATGTTTCCAAGCTCTAAAATCATCTGTACAGGCAAAAGAAAAAAAAAGCGCTTTAAGTAAATCTTAACATTTATAAACCTATGAGAAAATATTCAATTTTTTAAGCTAAAGAGATGTATAAATTTAAACAAATTGCTGCCATGATAGAAAGTCACCCTTTCACTGCCCCCCTTGACGACCCTACATTCAAGAACATGTGACAAGAAAAAAAAAATCTTGAAGTGAAATATTCCAGAAATTTATTGATTATTTGCTTGAATACATTCTATGCAGAAAGGTGAAGACTGCCTGGTTTTGGTGTTCCCAGGAAGCCTCACTCAGACACAGGGAGCTGTAAACAGCTCCTAGTCTGGAGCTGTTAGATATGAAACTGTTAAAGCAGGTCTGTGGCCCCTCTCTGGCCCACAGAGTTCGAGTCTCTAGTGACAACAGGCACCTTTTTCTGACAAATTCAATTTGTACAACCTGCTGTATAAAGCAGCTCTATTTTATACAGGATTTTATGCATTGGTCTGTTCAAATAGTCAAATACTTGGAAGTATTTGCTTCTGGAGTTTTCAATACTGGAAAATTTCAGTCCATGGTGTCTGTATCTGGGTCCTTAATTTTTCATCCTTAAATTGTACTCATCCCACAACATTTTTAGTCTTCAGTTTTGGCTTCCATTTCCTCAGCATCATCATCTCCATCCACTTCAGCATTTTCCCTCTCCAGCCTTTCCAGCTGCCTTGCAAGTTCAGTCTCATCTGTGTCAGTAACTACCTTAGGCTGAAAAACAGAACACACACGCATACTGTTAATGTGGTTTTCTTTAATAGCGTTTACTCAATGTAAAATTTCACACATGGGATAGGAAAATCAGAACATTCTGCAAGTTTTCTTCGCACTTGTTAAATAAACCCCACCTCAGATCATAAACAACACAAAACAACACAATTTTTATGGTTTTCAATATCCTCTGTGATGCTGGTAACAAGCCCTAGGGCAAATGCAGAACACAAAACAAAACAAAATCCTTAAAACAACCAAAGAACGAAGTTTTTAAAAAAATCTTTGTTTACAACTGAGAGCATCACAAGGAACACAGGGAAGTCTTTTGGGACAAACAAGTTTGATACTGAGAGTTTAATCAAGACCAAGATTTGTTCAATACAAAGATATAAAGTAGGGTGACATTATCTTGATGTTTGTTTGGGGTTTTTTTTACTAGACCCGAGACTGAGATTTTCCTTGTCTATCTGAGTTGGTCTCAAAACAGAGGAAAAAAGAAACACTTTTAAATATAGAAACTGTTCTCACCTCCATCTGCACATTGAAAACTCCCCTCTTCTCCTCAATCTTTTCTTTAATGACAGCCATGGCTTGATTCAGAACGGAGAGGCCTTCAGTTCTTTCCAGTGTTGTGGTGGTCATCACGTAACGAGGAGGCGCTATCAGATTAATCTACAGAATGTGGTTGATGGGGAAGGAAAAAAAAGTATGATTCAATTAAAAGAAAGACTACAACAAAAACTGAAACAATCAAACACCATTCTTATTTGAAAGAGTGTAATAACACAATTAATAGTGCTAAAAGCACACCTCCATCAAGAATGGTTTCTCAAGTAACATGAACTACTTATGATGACAGTTAAGCTTACAGTTTATGAAACATACTGGAAAATTAAGTCTCATCTAGGTTCAATCTAGCATCTTTCATTAAAGACTTTGTTGAAGGGGATATTATTGACCTTTGAGAGACAGGTAAATGGAGTACAGAGAGGTCATGGACCCATTGCACACCTTTCCAAAAATGCAGGCTTGAAAATGCAGACAATGATTTCATACTTGTGTGAGAAGATGGGACGTTTGCTCAGCTATAAGAAATATTAGTTGCTTCCAGAAGGTGGCAAACAATTCAGGGTTTCTGGAAACTGATCATCCAAGAACGCACTCAGTACTCATTTGGACAGAAAACTATGCAGAACTGACTGGACACAGTAGTCCCTCTGTGACTCTGACTGAGACACCAAACCTATCTGGGCTTATAGCAACCCCTCTCTACCCAGGCTGGTCTCAACAAATCACACCCATTATCCCCTTACCTTACAGATAGAACCAGGAACAGCAATTGTGAAGTATGGTTTATGTAGAACGTGAATTAATTGACAAGGCTCACCAGGGTCAACAGAAAGTAGGTAATGTGTTGAACTTCCCTGGAAAGACCTGCAAGGTCACAGAACTGACAAAGAAACAATTTTCCTCTAAATATTTGGGAAGAGGGGTGTGTAAAATGCTTGACAACTAGAAGAACTATTTCCTGACTCCAGCACCTGACAAACTTCTAATGCTGCTACTGACAGGATCTGAAGACAGCCCTATAGTAACAAGGACAAAATCTTAGGGTTATCAATATTACTTACTTTGATGGGCATGTTCTCTGTCGAACACTTCAAGCCAGCCCTCAGAGCTTCTTTCACTGCATCAATGCCTTCATAACCATAACAGGCAACTTCAATATCTAAGGCAGACAAACACAATTCAATGCAAAAAATAACATTTTTAAAAGCTGTACATTCTAGGACTAGTACATAACAAGCAAAATGCCTTCACTGCTTTTTGGAAAATTCACGCCTGCCCTGTTTTCAGTTTCCTCATCTGTAAAACAGAGAAAGTACTTATGCTCTAATAAAAGTTTTGTGATTATTATTGTTAATATGCAGCTTCGTATTGAAAAGACATCAATTAATTATTAAAAGAATGTACTGAAATAGACGCAATGACAAGGTTATTGCATGTACTGAATAAGCAATGACAAGAAGGTAAAAAAGACTTAGATGCTAGATCAAAATGGTGATAGCAGAAGAGATCAGGATGAAAGCTCCATCTAGAAAGATGAAAGCTGAGAAACTTGTCTCCAAAAGAATCAAGGAGTCTGTCTGTACTAATACCCGAGGCACCTCCTCATGGCAATGGGAGTTTCATAAATTATGTTAGTCTGTGGTTGAGATCTGTACTACACGTACACATACACACTTTTTGAATGACCAGTTTCATGACAAAGACACAGAACCACAAAGCATGCGTCTGTTTTTACCCGATTACTCACTAGACAAAGGTATTTGTAGGTCTAAATCTAACAGCTGTATACACCTGATATCTGCAAATCAGTCTCACCTCCCAGGTGATTTATAATACATCAAGTTAGTCCTAAGGGGCTGCAATTACAGTTGGAGAACAGGGTTAGTACCTTAGTCAGTCTCAGTCTAACCCTTGTAATCCCACAAGAAAATCCCATGTACTCTCTAAAGACAGAATTAAAAAAACCTGCTTAGGTTGTCCCAATGGTTTTATAAGAATCTGGTCAAAGAGCATTTGTTCTGACTACTGTATTTAGTATGGAAATAAGAACCTCTATAGCTACATGAAGTCTTAACTTTCATTCACAAACTGCAGTGAAGAAATAGCCTGAAGATGCAGGCAATGGCAGTTTTATGCTTCTTATTTTATGCTGTTTTCCATATCCCTGTTTTTACACATCTGGATCATCCCTGACCCCATCATTCTGCCAAAAACACTGATTAACAAAGCACTATGGAGCAGAGGCAGTTTTTATCCCTGCACAGCAGACAGAGTTTGGTTAGTATCCACTACATGTTGTTGGCTGGTGTATTTTTATCCTGCTGAGTTATACTGGTACATAGCCAAGTATCCTGTATGGAAGATCCTGTCAGAGGGCAATAAGAAGCTGTCAGAGGTTGGGAAATCACCAATCTGACACAGCTGATGCATATTTTAAGTCAATACTGCATCAGGACAAGGGGGTGAATTAGATTACCTCCCAAGCAGCAACATCCGGTTTCAACCACACAAAGATGAAAACCTCAGAAACAAGCTTATGAAATACCTAAGGAAGCAATGCATCTTAAAACTGAGCCAGAATCTAACTTGCTATTTTTAGTGTCAATTCAATCTGCCTTACCTATGTTGTCTCTCCTTATAAAAAAAATGTACAAAAAAGGTATATGGAGACAGTCAGTCATAAGGTGCTTTATTCAAGGACAGCCTAATTCTGAAACAGCAAATTCATTCAAATGTTGTGTTACTAAGCAACGGTAACAATTTTAACATGGTTTGTAATTTAACAACATTTGTAACTTGATTTCTGCAACTGTGCTCTGTGTATAAATGCTCTGCCCCTCAAACAAATTGCCACAGGGGACTCACCTGCTCGAATTTTCACTGCCTGTGGTGTCAGTCGTCTATTTATGTTGTCAATCAGCACCTTCCTCTCGTCTTCTGTCAAATCTAGACTATCCAGGATTGCAGGATCTCTAAGTCCGACAAAGCAATGTTAAACATAATAATGTTATAGCAACTGATAAACTTGTGTGCAAGTGAGGACAAGCAAAGACAAGAAGCAACATTAACATGTGGTACAATTTCAGAACCTCTCTCTCTGGAAGCATTTCTTGATACAGGAAGTACATAGCTGTTTCAACCTTTAATCCAAATTATGCAGGGGAAGTGACACTACATAACAAATAATTTTAATTCAAAAGAGGAAATAACGACTGTCTGGCTGCAAGCACACATTATTCCTGAAGTGAAAAGGCATCTAGTGTTCCAGCACTATCCTTTACTTAAATGAGGCATAGCTATGTGAAAAAGTAAACCTTAATGGAAAGATCTAAAATAATGGGCTATTAAAAACTATGCTTTGGTTGGGGCAAATTTTCATTCATCTGGAAATCAATTTGGAAATAAGATTATGCAACCTCTACCCAAGAAGTGTAGTGCTATATCTCCCTCTGCTGGTGGCTGGGCCACAAACAAATTGATTAATCTGTTACAGCCTGTGCAAACAAATGGTTTAAGAACCAGAGACCCCAGATGCAAGCCTTGCTGTTGCGACCCACACAAAATGGTGTGGTTACCAGCAGTGACATTTCTCTCTATTGTTTTACTATATTCAGCACACTGCTACACAAACAGCAGAACCTACTGATGAGCTTCTGACAGCACAGTTCCCACCAAGAGCACGCCACTGGCTCTTACACAGTGGTTAGTCTTCTGCGCAAGTCATTCCCTGTTGCTCAGGAAGTCAAAATCCTGCCAGTTCCCTTCAGAGGCCTCAATTAGCAACCTCAAAGAGTGACAACTTTCTGAAACAGAGTGACAACACAATCACCCGAAACACCACTAGCTAATAAACACTACCTTTTCCTACTAAAGATTAACCAGCACACTCTATGCAACAGGCTTAATTGTAAGCACTTTGGAGATTATTTTCTGCTACATCATGACACCCTTTTACTGGCTTTATATATAGGATAGAGCATAAGGGCCAATGTGAATAAGACAAAAATACAAACAAGTACGGCACAGATTTTATGAAAGCGCATAGCTATAACCACCACACTCTCTCTGGCATTGGCACCATCACCGAGGGAGTTTTGGGCAACAGTGACTCCATCCTGTAACTACTTGCCACTGGAGCTGCCAGGTATTTGAAAGACACCACAGATTTCTTAAAAATACTGGCCTCCATTGACAAGCTTCTAGCAAATATCAGATGGATGTCACATCTCTGTCTAGCAACATCCCCCCATAACAATAGATTACAAGCCATAAGGAACATTATTCCTGACAAGAGAACTGATTCAGTTTCCAATACACTCTCCTGCTTTGTCCTCACACACAACTATTTCAGGTTTGGAGACTCCCTATACCTACAAATGACTGGCACTACCAAAGGCATAAGTATGACCAATACATTTGTCCATATAGGCTAATATATTTGTGATAGACCTTGAAGTCCGTTTCCTCCGCAAATGCTCCTCTCATCACACCTATACCTAAGATATATCAATGACATCTTTATATAGACACATACATGGGAAGGAAGCTCTATAGAGAAATTCCACTAGGACTTTAACATCTTCCACCCCTCCATAAAACTGACTCTGAAATACTCCACCAGTGAATTTCATCTCAGTGAAAGTCTGCAATCGCCACATCACCAACACATTGCATCAGAAACTTACCAACTGCCACAGCTACTTTCGTATCACCAGCTTTCATCCTAAGCACACCACTAGAGCCATTGTCTACAGCCAAGCTCCACATTATGACTATTTACACTAATCCCACCAAACACAGTATACAGTTTAAATATCTGGAGCAGGGATTCCTAGTTACAAACCCCAAACCATAGCCACTCAAATCAATAAAGCCAGACTCAGAATCTACTCTAATTTACTACAATGCTGACCCCAAGACAAGAACAACAGAATCTCTGTTGTGAATTAGTGCTCAGCCTGAACACCTTGCACAAATCATTAATGACCTCCAACCCCTCCTAGAAAATGACAACTCACTCAAGGTAGCCAGGGGGGACAAATCAGTCCTTGCTCACTGGCAACCCCCCCCCACCTCAATCATCCAAGTAACAGGCTACCCAATTCCTATTCTCACCAAGGCACTAGGCCTAGCAACAAACCCAGATGCAACCTGTATCCTATCATCAATACCAAATAACATGGATTACAACATCCAAAGTCCATTTACCTGCACCTCTACCGAAGTCATATATATGCCATCACAGTGCCCTGTCTGCTCTCTATGTTGGACAGACAGGACCATCTCTAAGCAAAAGAATGAAGGGGACAGCTATCTGATATTAAGACCAAAAACACAGAAAAGTCTGTGGCAGAACACTTTAACCTTCCTGGGCATTCCATTGCTGACCTCAGAGTAGTCACTTTTATACAGCAAAAATTTAAAAGCTGGCTTGAATGCAAAATTGAGTAACAAACAATCATCCACAGACCAGATGGTATTAAGTATGGTCTAAACAGGGACATTTTTATCCCATTACCTGGATTATCTTTTGTAACCCCTTTGTCCCTATGGAATTATTACTTGTTGCCTCTTTTGGCATTGCCCTCTTCAGCTCCCTGCCCTGCTTTTTGTATTCAAATCACCCCCTCTATTCAATAGCTTGCTCTGTCCATGTCCTTTCATAGCACATGATGAAAAGAGTTCTTGCTCATAAAACATTATGCATCTCTGATTAACTTAGGCTATAAAGTATACCTGCCTTAATATAACTCGTCACTGCCACCTGGTGGTAGATCAAAGTTATATTCTTTAGATTTCTTAATTTTTTTTTTTTAAAAGAGGAGTGGAAGGGGACATATCTGAGAAACCAGTGTCTGTTTGGTTTGCTAGTCAAGGCTTGTGAAGGCTTCATTAGAATCAACTACAGGTCTTACTATATCATTATATTTAAAGTGGACTAACATTCCAAGCAATTCCATTTTTGCTGAAAGTAAATGGTAGACTTCAAAGTGATATACAACCTTTGTTCTAAATGCCCTAGAACAGAGGTTCTCAAACTGTGGTCCCTGAGCTCCATTCAGGTGGTTCACAGAAAGTCTCGATTGTTCCACACCCTTTCTGTACTTGTAAGGTAAGATTACTGATATTAAAATATGAGAACAAAAAATAGTATAAGTGGTCTGCCGAAACCCTCACGTTTTCAAGTGGTCCGTGAAAAAAAAAGTTTGAGAACCACTGCCCTAGAAAAATAAGGTAGAACCTATTAAAAAAATCTAGTCTAGCAAAACTGCAGGATTACAGGTCAACATCATCCTTTTTGAATATATCAATCAGTCTCAACAGCTATGTATTTCTATATTGTGATAGGCACATATTTGAGAATATCTGATTTGGAGATAACTGAAATGAGACCCAACTGGTTCCTAAAGCACTAGATTGACATAGGTAGTTCTACAGAATAATTAATAAAGGAGTACAATGGCTACAGAAGAATACAAGAATGATGAGCTGGACTTTAAAATCCTTCATAACACCATGACTCCTCCAGATGGTAACATGCACTTATCTGACCAGTGTATTACAACCAGGCTGCTATCTGCCTGAGAGGTAAAAGGAAAATTTTGGTGGGTCTATCCCAGGAAACATGCGCCTGCAACTAAACCACTAAAAGTAAAGAGGTGCTCTTACGAGACTGCATGCTTGAATGCATCATAAGCGCCATATCCAGGTCTTTTGTATTTGTCATCAAACACCCAGGCAGTTCTCTGGAATAGACTTTCCAGCTGCTCATCCTTAGTGTACTCCAACACCTCAGCAACATGACGAAGGATGCTGTAAACCTAGGACACAAATAAAAGAGTGGGGATGAAGGGACTCAGGGGAGATTATTATTCAGATTCTAAGATTTGTGCTATAGAAATTTCCTGTGTTTGCACACAAAAACCCAATTTATGTCTGGGCCTCTAGCTGCTACTGCAATATACAGAGAGTAAAAGTAAACAGTGTTCAAGTAAGAGGCAGCCACGATAAAAGGTTAAGTCTTAAACTGTGTGATGCCGACATCTTACAACCCCCCCACCTTCCAGCCAGTGCATAAAGCAGCAGTATGCCAAACTCCAGGCACTTTGAAGTATCAAAGTATAAATACTAGCCCTCATCACATGTGTGTGAAAAAGACGCTATGTGCATTTAAAGATCCTGAAGTAGCATGTGACACTAAGAACGTACAAAGTTACAATATGAGTTAACCGAACTGGAAACAGAACCTAGGAATCCCAGCTCCCAGTGCTGTGATCTAACACATTAGAAAATATACTGAATTAAATTAGAATAGTATTTCATTTTCATCCTGGGTCAGCTCTGTGCTTTCTTTTTACTTACGGATACAATGGGCAATTCCGACGGCTGGAAAGCATCATATAACTTACTGTCTTTGATTTTGTGAACTTGTCTTCACATTTGATTGCCTCTTCTGGGGAAACTCTTCTTTTTGACAAGTCAATGTAGCCTAAGAAGAGACAAAATTTCAGAATAAAAAAAATTCTACAATATTCTTTACTTCTGGTTTTCCCTTTGCTGCTGTCTTTTCAAACGCCCCCTCCTCCCCATTCCCACTTGCCACCGACAGCAGTTATAAGCCAAGTGAAGCTTAAGAGAACAAATTTGCTCCAGAATGACTATCGGGAAGACTGAAATTGTTTTAGGACAATAAGACTTGTTTTTTGGATTTTAAATCTACTAAAAACACCTCTTCCCTTCCCCCAAATGTTTCTGAAATATTATCTCCATTTAAGAATATTTGTCCCCAAATTCAATGCATTTTCCCCCTAATGCTCTATTTCAACAAAATCATCATTCTTCCCTGAACTGTGCAGTCTAGGTTAACAATGATGTTGGCACACAGAAACTACACACTTTTAGAAAACACTCACACCGATACTCTGGTAGTTTATCTGGGTATGGCTCTCCACTATCATAGGTAAAATCTAACCCTGATTTCTGGATACAGTTCCTTGATCACATTTGCGTAAGAGCTGGAAGCACTGCTGGGAGATGCCCATATACAGTGACTGGCATGCCTTCTCTTGCTTAATCACAGCTAATCAAAGAGCAGCACTGATGATTTGAAAGGGAATCCATCTAGTTCTCCTCTAAAACAAGCCAGGGGGGTTCTCCTCAAGGTTCAATGAGTGAAGCGCATTAGAAGTTAAGTAAAGGAGAATCTAATTAGTTTGAAAAGTAGCTTGTGTCCTTCAACACAGTTTCTCTCATTCGGAATGGACTTCCTGCATCTCTCCAGATTATTTCAAGTCTCCTCTGAAAACCTTTTCCCTCATCTTTAGCCTCTCAATTGCTCACTCCTTTTCTATCACTCGTTGTTAACTCTAAACATATATTTAATTCTGAGAAGTATTTCAGAAATACATTTTACCATAACAAATTAAGCAATCTGGTTTCCAGCTTCTAAGAAAGCAGGCATGAATCTTCATTAATTCTTCACATGAGCAAGAAAACAGGTTTGAGATGGCATTGTTAAATGCCAATACTCAGTATAGTGTCAAATACCATCCCTTACACAAAATACATTAAAAAGACTTTAATGATGTCAATTACTTGAATGACAGACGCCGGCATTAAGGTTGGTGGGCCAGGTTTAACTCTACTCTGAGCATATGCATTACGAGGTACAGGAATGACCCCTAGTCTACTATTCTAGGATTGGGATTCTTGTCCTAATGCACGGAGAAACTGCTCTCTGTGTGCTGGAGCTCTGCTTTTTATGCTTTTTTCTAAAACAGCAGTTTATGATTGCCATTCTCATCAGTCAGTATCAACAAAAATAACTGAAAATATACAAACACAAAAATATATGTCAATAAATTGCACTGGAGTTTGCCTTTGTATGTATGTATATGTATAAGCATACAGACACACAAACACATATCTATATACAAGCCCTGTGGTCTAATCCTGCAAATCTTCATTGATGCAGCTTGTCCTCACACTCCTATGAGTAGTCCCTTTGAAGCCAATGAAACTACTTCCTAAAATGTCTCTCCAAATACTTCTGAACATACCTTTCTCTTTGTCAACCCTTATAACCACAACACATTCATTCCTGCCGATGCGGATGAGTTTGTTTATGGAGCGGATACGTCTTCTGGACAGCTCGCTAAGGAGGATCATGCCTTCAATGTTGTTGTATTCCAGTAAGCTGACATATGCTCCCATTTCAGCAATGGACCTAACATTGACCATTACTACATCTTCCACCTCTGGAAATTTATGTTGATAGAATCTACAGCTTAGTCCAGGCATTCTGGGATGGGAGGAAAAAGCAGAGATTTTTGTTTGCCTCAGTACAACACTGGACACAGCAAATCCACTATTGTGGGAAAAAGGGTGAGATTTAAACTGCAGGTGCAGAATGAAGAGGAACGCTTGCCTGCTTGGGATCAGGAACTGGGCAAACATCCAATTTTACAAACACTGTGCTTACATTAGTGTTCATTCAGCAGAAGTAATTTATTTAAAACTGGTATCTGTATTAGCACAATAATGCTGAAAACAAAGCTACTAAAAACTATTAATTCTGGTTTTGGGCACAATCTGCCTGATCGTGCACATACGTGATGCCTTTTAAGTAAGTAAATTCCCAGTCTGCCCTGATCGGTCACCCAGGCACCATATTATCCGGTTTTAATAAGGTGCTATATTCCACCATGAGCAGGTGATAGGGAGAGATACTGAGTTTCTCAACTGTCTGGTTTGCAACAGGTTGCAAAACTGTGCAAACTTCAGCAACAACAAGAAAAAACACAAGCAAAACATCTGGCATTCACAGGAAAACAAACATTGTTGGCTAAGTAGGATGCTGGAGTTACAGCTGGGGAATACAGTGCACTTCTGTACCCTGTGGTGAGCCCAGACCCAGTGCAGATTACTTGGGAAATCGTCTGAAAGTGGCTTTCTGGAGGCCAGGGTCAAAGGAACTATTAGAGCGGAAGATGGCACTGATCAATCCAAACCTGACCATGACCTAGAGCAGGGGTGAGTACTTATATCGGGCAGAGGGCTGCTTACTGAGTTTTGGCAAGCTGTTAAGGGCCACATTTCCCTCTCCGAAGCAGGGAAGCAGGAAAGGCCCCATGGTCCCAGACCAGAAGCCTCTGCTAGGCAGGGGTTTCTGGTTGGCAGGGGGCAGAGCTGGGCAGGCCTTGCTGATGGGTCCTGCCACCAGCTTCCTCTGGGTTCTACTGCCCCTGGTTCCTGTCATCTTTGACAGGCAGCTAGGAGCAAATAAATATTAATTTTCTAAATTTTTTAGGGGCCCCACAGGCCAGATAGAATGGCCTGGCAGGCCAGATCCAGCCCCCGGGCCACATTTTGCCCACCCTGTCCTAGAGAAACTTAGGTTAACCCAAGTAGATGCTGAGCAGGAGGAGGAAGCACTGGAGAATTACATGGGACTTTCTCCTCCCCTCCTATTGACAGAATTCACTATCTGCTCATCCAACTGCTGCAAAGTTTCATGAGATCCAGTCAGAATCAGAATTAAGCCTAGATGATGATCACATAGCATGAGGTAAAGAAGGCGCCTTCTACAATCTTCAGTTGGTAGGAATCTGTTGCTTCTTCTGAGGGAAAAATCTTCTCATGGTGATCCACATGCTGTGTAACTGCATTATCCTAGGATAGTAGTTCTCAAAATTTTCAGGGCCAAGGCACCCCACCACCACCTTTTTGAATTCAGAAGCACCCCTAGCTGAGAACCAGGGTTGGTGCTGCCTCATCTTACCCAAGTGCTTCTCAGTTGGGCTCTCTTGCCAGGAAGGGCTGCAAAACTGCCCCTGCTCCAGCCTGGGAAGGGCTGTGCCATGCACACACATTCTTCCTGTATTATGGCTCTGTCTGCCATATCTGGGGGAAATGTGAGTTGGGGGGGGGACAGAGGGGGTGCAGACCAGAAAGTGCTGTATGGCACGATGCAGTTGTGTTGGCTGACTGTACTGCTGTGGCACCTCTGAAGAAGCCCCACCCCCGGTTTAGAACCACAGTTTTAGGACACCCCCACTTGAATATTTGCTGTCAAGGTTTCAGACACTGCTGCCTGGAATTGCCCTCCTCAACAAGCCAACCTACTGAGATCAGCACCGTGAAGCTCAGACCCTCCTCCCACTTCTGTAGGATCTGTTTCTACTTCCAGGGCAGAGCCACAATCTGGATATTTCAAAGTTGATGATGGGGCAAGCCCCAGCAAGAATGGCCTTGTCTCCATCCTCCAGCACCTTCTGTGAGGAAGGAGAAGAGAGGACAGTGGCAAGCAAGAAGTGTGACAGATGGGGACTCCCCAGGATAAGTGGGTGTGGGCAGAAGGAACCTCTGAGGATGAGTGAATTCTTGAGCTTTGAACGTGTGCATTATGTATACAGGTTTCCTTCGCTTTATGCTCTACATGTGTTCCTAGAAAATGGCACATAACTCATACTCCCATACAGGGAACCCACTTTACATTGTAACAAATAGGGATACATTCTGAGACTTCCACTGTACCCCCAGACCCATTTCTACCACTTTTACAAGACAATTTTGGTACTCACCAACAGCAGACAGTACACACAAGCACACGGCACTACCATAATGGGGATGGCAACTACAGAAACACGTGTCGCACACAATGAGCAAGGAACACAGATCCACACAGGTTATATTGTGGTGTATATCACTCTCACAATGCCTTGCACAAAGCAGCTGACCATGGGCTTCCACCACACCACATATATTCATGTGTGTGTGTAGACCAGAAGTGTGCAAAGTCTGGCTTGCAACCCAGATCAGGCCCATGGTGGACTCCATTTCACAGCAGCCCTGGGTCCCTGCTGCTCTCCATGGAGACCCCTGGGAGCACTGGGGCATGACAGTGCTGGGCTACAGACCCAGGGCTCTGCCCCGGCCAGACCTGGCACTGTCTCGCCCCCACGCTCCTATGGTTTCCATGAAGACTGGCCAAGCACCCTGCGTGCAGGGCAGGGAGCTGCTCTGGGCCGGGATCTGGCAGTGGTGACAGCACAGGGTGGGGCTGGGGTAGAGCCACAATCTGCTGCCTGCACGGCTCTGCCCACAGAATCCGCGCTGGCTGCAGAAGTGCGCAGCCAGCGGATTGCAGCTCTGCCCCTGCCCTACCCTGGGCTGTCACCACTGCAAGACCCTGGCCCCAGCTGGAGCAGCTCCCTGGAGCCTGGCCACTCCTTGTGTGTACACGCCCATGTAAATATATACTTATACCTTTCTATGCACACACGTGGGCACAAGAAGCTGGAACATACATTCTCTAGGGGTATATGCCAGTCACTATTATCTATCTAGATAGAAGGGCACAGATATAGAATATCTGCCAGTGCATTCATGACGCATCTCTATATAACGTATGGCGCGGGTGGGGGGGGGGGGGCCCCGGGCATTGGCTTTTGCAGC